TATTTATAACCACAGACTAGATCCTGAATGGTAAATGAAGGGTTAAATCAATTGAGTAATCTTTGAGAAGCCTCTCATCTTGGTAACCATTTTAATGAGGTTATCTTACCATGTTCATTCTAACCTTAACAAGAACTGAACACTTCACTGTGTGCACTCCTGCCTTCAGAGCCGCTTCAATCTTTTTGTCAATGATTGTTGTCTGGAACATTCCTTATAGATTTTGGGCCATAGTGACATAATAGAATCACACACTTGCTGCAGATTTTTTGACTCCTCATCATTGATCTAAATGTCCAATTCGATCATATTAAAGATTGAGATTTGGCAACCACAAAGGCCAATGGAGTACTTTAATCTCTCTGACATCGCAAAGTAAATATTTTTTTAGGGGATCAGAGGATTTTAATGCAGTTCATTATCCTGTTGACAGTTGCAAAAGGAAGATTTGTAAGCTACAGTGCAGTACTTTAATACATCAGTATAGACAGAGTTAACAACAATTCACAGGTAGGCGGGGGCTAAAAATATGTGCTATCTGAAAATGATAGTTTCACTGTTTTCTCCAAATTTTAGACCCTATAACCTTAAAAAAGATATTTAATGAAGTAACATTTTCCAATCTGTTATTGTTCAATTATGCATACTGTCTATGTACATTTTTTGACCAGAGATGGGTTGGTGCCACCTTCTCCTACAGCCTTAGTGCTTTCAGTTTCAGTTTGTTGTGGATTCAGGGATGGTATTTTATATACTTTGAATGCAGAAGTGGATGGACGTTAACTTTCTGTATAATATGTACTTCTAGGAGTAGTCTTACTGCACTATACCTTTTATTTATATAACCATACATAGGTTGTTTTTGTTAAATTATAGAGAAGTTGTATTGAGCTTATTATTTTCTATCTGCGCAGCCAGCTGATTTTGGAACTCCAGTAAAAATAAACAGTTGAAACCGTCTCAAAAAAAGTCTTTGCCCTATTTTAAATATATACATTAGCTTCTGTAAATATTGGTACATAAAATGGATGAGTGTGTTATTTTTTTCTTATTACTTATTTTTATTGTTTTCTTATTTCTTTTTTTACTCTTTAAACTGCCAGAAGTTAACTTCATATTTTTAACTTCATAGTGTTGTCTCTCTAATATCATCTTAAAATACTAAATCAGGTACTATGATCGAACAATTACACAGTAATTTATTGGCATTTTTACCAAATGCTCTTACTTGAAACATCTTTTTGGCTGGATACTGATTAAAAATATGTTCAAGTATTGCTGCTCTTATTTGAGAAATGGTGGGAACATAAAGCCACTGCTTGGACGTAATAAGCAGTAATTTGGGTAACACTTAACATTTTACCATCCAGTACAAATCAATCGTACCATATGTACCATTTTTCAAACCATGCATGGTAAATTTGAGAGAAAGTAACTTGCAAAACAGAAAAAAATCCCAGGAGATCAACACTTTCTAAAATACTCAAATCACTCAGATTAGTGTAATCAAGAGATTGAACAGGTGTACCTAATAAATTGACTGCAATAAAAATTGGTTTATTCTTCTCCATAATATTAAGAGTATTAAGTTTGTAAAAAAATATTGAAAAGTAAAATGTGTTCATCATATCATTATGTTTTGCCAGCAACCAAATCAAACTGTAAACTATGTCTTAATTTCATATGTGGTCACAATTGGCTTTCAAGAAATCCATCGACTTAACCAATCACATATTTTTTCTGCCCTTCTATATCAGCGGTTATACATATTTTTATTAAAAGACTAAAAAATTTGGGGAATTAGTTAAATATTGACTCAAACTTCACAACCTGCAAAAATAAACAGTGTTTCCATTGCCCTGTTTACAGTTCTGCTAGTTGCTAATGCATTAGTATATTTTTCCTTTTCGGGATATACTGTATTTAGCAATATTTTCAAATGGAATTGCTATTTCTTACTGGCCTATGTTGTACTGGTTTGCTGCACAGGCACATAAATTACAGGAGACTGTGAACCATGAAGAGGGAAGCTCTGCCGACACCTTCTGCAGACTACAGAGCACACTTAGATTGTATCTCTGCCCGCTGTAGCAGACTGGCAGGAAAAGAGCAATGAGTCCAAACAGCTCCAACTATTATTCATCTTCAGAGGTCCGCATGATACGGGCAAAGCAGGCAGGAATGCTGGGGGGGATGAGTACACATTAACACACCATATTTGATCATAATAGCTAATAACACCAGTGGAGAGGCAACAAGCTCTATCTTACAAATCAGTGAGACAGACATTTTTTTTCTCCACTGGAGAGATGGTGAATGAAACCAGCTTGTTTTAACTTGGACATGAAAAGACCACCCCTACACCATCATTGTCTATTCTACCATCAAACATGTCCTAACAACACACTGGGACACACAGTAACCGCAGATTCGGACAGACTACGTTCCATGTCTGCTCCGTCATCAATCACCAATTGTGCTGTGCGACAATCCGCACTGTGAGATCTGTTCATGCATCCAGATTGCTCCTTCTAGTTAAAATGTATTGGATCTGCTTTCCTCTACCCATTTCTGACTTCCTTTCTGGCTAAGTTCATCTTTAAAAATATACTAATTTCTCTCCGTTTCAATGAAAAATAGACTCTGATGGAGGACAGATGTCAGGACACGGTGTCTTGCCACAACACCTTGAACAAGTGGAAATTGCAGCATTAATTAGAATGGCTTGTATTTTTTACAGCATTGCCTTCAATTAAAGGTGTAGAGGACAATATTTCTGGGTGGATCATCTAAATAAGTGGTCCTCCTAATTGTCAATCATTCTGGTGATGTGTTTATGTAAGGCTGTCCTACATGCTCGTCACCAGTTAGCTATTTTTTTCTGTGCATGTAACTTTTCAGGCGTATATGTATGATAAGCAATGGTTTCAAACAGTCATTGACAACATCTGTGTGAGATGAAGAATCTAAGCATAGTAATTTAACTCTTACCACTAAATAAAACTCTCTAAAGCAGGGGTGCTCAAGTCCAGTGCTCAAGAGCTACTATCCTGCAACCTTTTGATGCACCCCATTTTTAATACACCTGAATCAAATGAGTAGCTTGTTACCTTGCCTCTGCTGGGCTAAATGAGGGAATTGAGCCTTTCAATTCAGGTGTGTTAGAGAAGAAATGCATCTTAAAGTTACAGGATGGCAGCTCTTGAGGAATGGACTTGAGCACCCCTGCTCTAAAGCAAGTTTACATGACGTGATCATGATGCTGATTTTTGCTCAATCTTACCCTATCAGGGGAGATGTTTGATGATGTAATGTGGATGACATTAAATACTAAAGTAAGTCAGACTACCTGCAGGGGACCTCTTAACCAACAGGTTACACAAATCCTGCAGCTGAAGTTTTAAAACACTAATAGTTTTGATACAACTAATTATGTTTTTCCTCAGCACAAGTATGCCTAAACAGCCATTTTGTCTTTTATGTAACCAGAAATATCTGTAGGATTATCTTATCTTAAATATTGTTAAAATGACCACAAAACATATGAACAATATCACATTTGAATCATGACACCTTGTATATTTGAAATATACTAAAATAAGCATTTTAACATGGCTGAATAAGGCTTTGATTTTGGACATTTTCTAAAACATTTGGTCACTGCGATGTTATAAAAATGTTACTTATCACAATAAAAGATGACAAGGTGAAGAATTTGTCTTCTCAAAAGTTAAATGAAGGGCCAGATAACTGTTAGCCCCTTGACCTTAAGGAAATAATGGCGCTCAGTTGTGCCAAAACATATAACTAGACAAATATCAGTCTTAATTCCATAAACCTTTATGTACAAGTGGCACATGACTGAGTACAGATCCTGATAATTAAGGGTGATGGAGAAACTTGTTTACATACCTTTCAGTTTCCTGTTCTGGTAGGTTTTGTTTTGTCTCAAAGCCAGGGAGGCTCTTCATGTCCACATAGCCATCTGTCTCATTCGCTGTAGACAAGACGCGGCTGGGATGATTAAAGAAGTTTGTGAGTGGCATCTGCTGAACAGGCCTTCGCTGTGGCACCTGAACGTTCTCATAGTCTGAGCTGAGGGGAGGAACATTTTCATAATCTGAGGTATCAGTATTGGGGAAGGAGATGGAGCGAGGCTTGGTCAAAGGGAGAGGAGCAAAAGGCACCCTGGAGCGGTCCTCGAAGGACTCCACTCGAATAACGCTCCGGTTTAAAAAGGCAGAGTTCCCTTTCCTTTTACCTTCTTTGTAAAACAGAAAGGTGGATGAAGGCTCAGGTGAACCTTGAGGTTTGTTGGCTGGGCGTAAATTTAGTTGTGGAGAACCACTAATGCTCTGCCTGTCTAAATTCAGAAGTCTGTTTGGTGTGCAATCGGGCACCTCGGCTAAGGATTTTAAAGAGGATGGCTTTGTATCTACTCCTGACTTACTGTCTGTTTTCCACCCAAATTTAAGTAGAAAGCGCTTAATGGAGGATTTCTTTTTCCTGTCCTTCTCTGCAGAATCATCCCTGGTGAGAAGTGAGGGGGAACTCTTTGTGATTGGCTTCTTTGTAATAAAGGACAGCTCAAAGGGAGGAGGAATATCCATTAAAGAAGTAGGTGTGGACAGGGCACTAGATGACAGAGGAGAGCACTTGGAGAAGCTTTCAGATGAAGAAATGCCATCTCTATGCCTGTAAGATCCCTCCTTGTAGATACACAGAGGTGTATGGTGTCCCTCCATGGACAAGGACCGTGGGTACAGGGACAAATATTTAGGTTTGGAATAGCTCTTATGCCTCGTTGAATCTAACACTGGGCTGCTGCTCAGTACAGGTTGTCCTAATCCACTAACGTAGGTCTTGTGGAGGAATTGTACTCCCCGATCACCCACAGCAGCGGTGGTCCAATGTGACAAAGAGCGTGTTCGAACACTGCCAGCACAGCCATCCAAAGCAGTACCACTTTCAGCACATGAACTTTTTCCAGGTTCTTCATAAACATGTTCATCAGTAACATTGTGTTCCATGTCAATGGTCTCATCCAGAAAGGGCACAATATGACCGTCCATGTCCTCTTCGTCTTTGAACACATCTGAATCATTTGGGGATAGCAACTGGCTCTCAGAGAAAGAAGACGTCAATGAGGTGTCTGTGTCTGTTGGCACTGAAATGGCAACATGTCTGAGCCTTGCCTGGTTGTCCAGATAGTTCAATACATCTTTCATTTCCATAACCTTGTCTTTATTGACATATTCCTCATCTTTGTCAAAGTTCACGCAGTCCATCAAATGTCCATCTTCTGCTGTTCCTATGTATTTTCTAATTGATACTCCAGTTACGTTTACAGGCGTAATGCCTCCCTCTGAAAGCGAAGCCTCCATGTTAACAATGTCATCAGAGCTGATGTAGAATGGCTCAATATCTCCATGACAGACTTGTTTGTGCTTTGTAGAATATATGTGACACAAACCATCTACCTGCAGGTTTTCTTCTTTTTCCTTAATCTGATGGACACACATGATCTTCTGGCTTTTAAAACACAAATCAGGACCTGACTCTTGTTCTCTTCCATGTTTTGCATCAGTGTCCATCATTCTGTCCCTAACACAGATTCCATTTTCCTCAGTAGAGGACTTTGATAAATCATTCGTGGTACTTTTGTCTCCATTTGTCTGAATACTTTCATGCTTCAGGGCAGAGTGGTAACACAACCCATCTTCAGCACTATGAACAGAAATGCTTCCCATTGAGAGGCCGTCAGTGTCAGCCAGTGCCTCACCACCATCACAACCTTCGGCATCCATGTCATCTGAGTCAATCATTTCCTCTGTGACCTCAGAGTCAGCTGTGAGCCTGTCGTCACTAACCCAAAGTGTTTTCGGGGAGTAACCTTCCTCCCTAAGGGTATTGTCTCTTAGTCTGCAGTCCTCATCCACGTTCTGACTTTCATCTTCTTCCTTTTCCTCTTCAGTCCCACCACTGTCCTCAGTCCCTTTCAACATGGTTTCTAAATCTGTTTTGACAAATTTAAGACGGCTGATATTCAAATGTTTCTTGCCAGTTGATAGGTTCATAATAACTTTGTTTAGACCATTCTGTTTCACAATCGCTTCACAACCCTCTCCATCAGAAGTTGTTGCCCTGCCATTACTGAATCCTTCCAGGTTGCCATTGGAAGCTACATTGACTTTAGGTTTTGGGGCTACTGAAGGTTTAGGACCCCTAGATGCAGAAGTAAGAGGGGAAGGTAGCTTCAGGCTGGCGTGACAAACAAATCTTGGCGTTGGAGCCACTGAAGGTCGGGTGCAGTCTAGAAGAACAACAGGAAAAGGAAATTGTAAGATTATTGACTTTAAAATAGCTTACAGGGTCATTTGTATGGTGCTCCTGTGACCTAAAATGGCTCAACAATTTACAAAAAAATGTAGAACTAAATGGTGTGTGTCAGAGTTTTAACTCTAGGATCATGGTGAAACGCTTTCTGAACAAAATGTGTGTAACAGTAATTTCCTGTAGGCAATCTCCTATGCTAACCACCCAGGTAGTAAAATGCTTTTACCATACAAGCAAGCCAATAATATTTGGCGAAGGTAAAGTATAAATAATGACATAAAAATTGACCCACATTTCCTTTTTCAAATGGGTACTAGTTAAATTTAGACTGCAAAACTCTGCCAGCAGTTGGTCTTGATATTGTTGATTTTACAAGAACAAGAAAGGCCTGGCCTCTTGAACACACACAACCTAACCAATTTACACTCCACAAACTACTACATCAGAAGACAGAAGACTATTCATTTTAACAAAAAATTGTAACCCTGTTTAGTTTGAAGTTGAAGAGCAGACTAGACATTCCAGCATTTTTAATAAAACAAACATATCTTAAACTCCAGTTAGTTTTACCGCATAGGCTTTTAGCTGCTACTGAGAGCACACAATGATTGTATTCATTTTTTTATGCATTTATATGCATTCTGATGTGATCTTTTAAGATTTTCTTTATAGGGAAAAAGATAACTAAATTTTCTGCTTTGCTCTTTCTTTGAGGTAATTGTATTTTTATCTTGTGTGTGCTTGCCTAGGGAGTACAGAACAAGGCATCTTAGAGTTTAGGCTCCTCTAGATTGCCCCAGTGTTCATGTGCCTTCTGGTGACCTATCCAGAGTGTTTTGTGCCTAGCTTCCATTGACCACTGAGATAAGCCCGACCCATCTGTGACCCTGCAAGGATTAAATGGAATATAGAAAAGGATGGGTCACCTGTTTTAATTTAAATATTACCAGTAATCCAGGTCATGGGTTATCCTTTTGATCTTATTCTTAGGTTGCATCGATATTAGGGATACTTTTTTCAGTTGAGAACCTAACCTAATACACTATATCTAACCCACAACCTAACTTTGTTGTCTTAAATAATCAGTCCTTATTGGGACTTTTCAACTATGTTCTGTGCTAAAAATGGTTGTAGCTCTTGCTTAGCATCGGTTCTATGTATTTAAACTGCTGTAAGCCCCTTCTCTGTCCCTGAGGTTCTGGTTTTTGTAATCAACAAATGTTTGTCAGAAACAAAAGGTGCCAATACTGGCTGATGGAGATTAGAAAAAAAAATTATAAAATTAAAATGTTTGTGAGCACCATATCTTAAACTCCACAGTAAACAGACTAATTTGCTGTGAATAACATAAGATAATTTGTGTTCTCTCCACTTTTTATTTTAATGTAACCCATTACAGATCCTAAGATGGAAAATGTGCTGCACACAGCTGTGACACAGTTAAAACCTATTTCTAACCCAAGTCTAAAACACTGTCAATCTGTTGGTGATATAAATGAATGATGCCCCAAACATTTGTAACCCCTGTGTTCCAGTGAGGGTGGTACCACTGACCCATGAAAGGTGAGTTCTTCTCTAAAACATTTACTAAGTCAGTCTTTTTTTTTTTTTTTTTTGTTAAAGAACTTAAGTCATTGTGTGTAATACCATAGAATCTATTTGCTGGGATAAATATGTTAAATGCTCATATGAAACATTTAGAAATTACCTTAGCGATAGACTTAAACAGTTATTTTATAATACCAGTAAGGAACTGGCTCTAGCAATAGCTTTAAAGAAAATAAAATACTATGCTGACCCAGAACTGCAAGGGCGGTTCTACACAGGGACCAGCAGTGGCCAGTACCCCTGTTGAACTGGTCCTGCCCCCTGTTATGCCACCTGTACTGAAGATATAATACTGAATACTTTACCAATGATGATACTGTATGCACTGGCAAAGAAACCCAACCTGATTACTCCCTTGGATCTATTTACCTTTTCTACCTTTACAGTATTATTTCAACAATGATTTTAATATGAAGGTGATGCACTTTTAGCTTCAGTTGCACTGAGATAGCATCACAGTTTTCATTCGCTTAATCTGGGGTCTCTAAAGCTACAAATGGCTCTTTGGTTCTGTGCCTAATTTAATAGAACAAATTCAAAACTATTGCCCTGTTTTTTTGTATCATGCTATTGCTCTGTGCCACAATGAAAAAATGTTGACCCCACCTCGATAAATTGGTTCTAGAATCGCCACTACAGGACTGGGTTAGAAAAATAACCCAAACTAAGTTTTTTATCTTCCAGCAGAGTATAGCCATCTTAATCCCAATGAACAGCTGGGGAAAAAAACAAAAAAAGAAACTATTTCCTTTCCTTGGCCAGTCTTGGTCAATAGGATGTCTAGTTTCTAAAACTACAGTCAATTTGTTTAAATCTGGTGCTACAGAAAGGCAATGGAGCACTTAGTAATGCATGCTTTAACACAGTCCCAAAAAGAATACAAAGAGGTCTGAGGGATTTCCCTGACTCACTTCCTGTGATTCAAGCCAGAGAGACTCCTGTCAGGAGGCCACTACAGCTTTAAGAACAATACATAAAACAATCCATAAAACCTCTATAAAGCAAAAATATTTCATTTATATATCTTGTAGATGCACCTTAATCACAATACATAACTTTAAAAAACGGGTTGCTCTTTTAAACTGTTAACTTTATAAAACATTTTGATTTTTTTTTTACTTTTAATATGCAATATTACATACAGTTAGACCTAAAAATCAAGATTATATTCATTAAACATTTAGATTTGTACATTTAAATGGTAAAACGGAAAGAAACTAACTTATTTCAAAGGGAGTATTGTTTCTTATACTGAAAAGCTCTCATCCTCATCCTCACTGAAATGTAAGAAAAGCAAAACGTGATATCATGTAACTATAACGATCCATATTCCTCTATTTTCTAGAAAATGTGATTAAATCATGTTGAGATTTCTAATTATTGTGATTGTAAATGTTACACGAAATGAACATAAATATAATCTCACCTGTGTTCATTTTTGCGCGTTGCCCTCCTCCAACATCCCCTCCGCAAAAGCAGCCACGGCGCACCAGCCTTCCAGCAAAACGATTGGAAGCGGATCCAGGACGGAAAACGCGACTCTAAACTTTGTTAAAAATGCCCAAGCAGATGCTGAGAGACTGCGCCAGTTTAACACCGCGGCTTCTTCTCTTTCCCTGCTCAGCTGATCTCCTGCGCGTCAGACTGCGCGCAGGACGCGACTGGAAACCAAATGTGGAGGTTCGATCCGCGCCCTGATAACCCACGCACCCACGCACAGACACAGACATCTCTCCGCAGAGTCAGACACACAGGCGCTGCAAATCCGGACAAGTACAGGGACATCCGAAAGCTGTAACATCCCAGTACCAGCGAAAGTTAAAAGCTGATCAGCTGGTTTTTTGTTTGTTTCTATGTATTTTTTGTTTTTATCCCCTGTACTGGATGATGCAGGGATATGCTTTCATTTTTATTTATTTTTTTTAATTTTTATTTTTGTCATTACACTGTCACAAGTACAGAGCAACGAAATAAACTCTCTGCGTGTAACCCATCCCTTTGGGGAGCAGTGGGCTGCCATTGTGCGGCCCTCTTGGGGAGCAGTGTGGGGTTAAGGGCCTTTTGCTCAGGGACCCAGAGTGGCAGGCTGTGAGAGGGGGGACTGAACTCATAGCCTAAGGATTCCAAACTCTATGCCCTAACCCATAGGTCCCCTTTATGATGCCTGTAAAGGTATTGTGATCAATGCCTGTACTGCAGATGATTTGACGTTTTAATCAAGTTAAAGCTGTGTAGTAATCCTATTAATTATCTCTAAGAAAATAACACTGATTCACAAAAACATCTGATAGTATTAACCTTTGACAGAATCAGCTTGCCTTAATGAAGCTGTAGAGCAGATAGTCCACTAACAAAACAAACATCCATTGATTAAACTTAATTGTCTTACTTTGGTCTGGAATATTAATTCTGCAGATAAATGCATTTAATGCAATATTTTAAACAGCTAAGGCAAATTTTATAGAAAGTGACTAAATTCTTGCTATTTTTGAAAATGTTCTACCATGTTAATATTTGTGAAATATTTGCTTATTCTAAAAGATGACTTTGTCCTTAGTTGTCTTGTCTTTTGTTGTCTTACTTACATTAACCTAAAGGATGACACTGCATTCTTCTGTATTTGTATCTAAGTGAGCAATGTCTTTAATATTTCCAGAGAAGACCAAATGTTTAATGGAGCCTTAACATACACATGGGGCTCATATTGTTGGAAAATAGGCAATGGATCGACATGTTACATAATGGACTATGTGAAGGGTTGGTCCAGGTCTCTGAATAAAAAGGAATACTCTTGCTTGTCACAGTTGCAAGAAGAAAAATACGTTATTTTGTTTTTGCATCCCTGTCTTGGGAGTTCTTGCTGCTTGTTCTCAACTCACTGTGGGGGCAGAACTTTCTTTTCTCAGTGTGTCTGACAACATTTGTGCAATTGGATTTGGATGGGCTTTCTTATGGAAGAAAAACACAGACAAAATTTCCCCATTTTATTTCAGGTCTGAGAATGTGCCTTTTAATTGCCATCCATCCAT